AAGCGGCAGAGTTACGCGTTAGAGAAAAACGATTATATATTGGAGTGTTACGCGACAGAGTTACTGGATAAATGGCAGCAGGCTCCCCTGGGCATGCACCGCAATGTTGCAAGCTCCAGTTGCATGGTACTCGTGAATATTTGACGAGTTGGCAGACTTATTTGTCTGCCTCGCCAGATATTGATTTAATGACACGTTTATCCGACAGTCCACCCAATGGCCCCTCATTACGAATTGATGCCACACAAAATGGACAGCCCACAGGATGGGTTGGAAGGAGACAGCAAGGACATGTGAATGGACAGCTCAGTTCAAGTGGCACAGCCCTTTTGGCTAGCCCTTGTACGGCATGGTTATTCGCTTTTGCACGAACATTAATAGCACGAGAGTATCCCCTGAGTTCTTTGTCCTTGCATCACTCTCAGTGCGGGGGGTTTATTCAATTTAATGCTTCATGGTGATTGTATTTTCAATTGGTTGAATTAAATTCATCATCTTTATTGTGTGTGCATAGTTTGTGGAATAATTGGGAATCGTTGGAGTGCAGAAATCAGCATACAACTGGAAAAGAAGAGTTTTCCACAAAGGATATTTATTCTCCCGTATAAAAGTTAACAAAACTCGCCACTAACTAGTCTCTCCTCCCCTTCAAACTTAACCCATTCAATCTTAATGGCGTATAACAGTTATCATTATCATTAGCATAAAGCACCCCCAAAAACAGGGGGCAACTAAATGGCAACGATCATAACGATAACGATCATAACGATAATGATCATCATTAGCGCCTTGCAAATGGCAGCAAAAACTAGTTTACAGTGCCACTAATTTTTGCATAAATGTTAATTGTTCAAATGTTAAATTGCACTCGTTAGCAGAAGAGCGGGCTCTAGCTCCATGCCCCCCCCCTTGGCCAACGTGCAACACGTGCAGCGGAGGCGACACACGATCCAATAGTTGGCAGGGGCGGGCAAGCCATGTGTGCTATAATTGCGTCAACATTCAGTTAGTTAGGCTCTCGTTGAGCGTGAAACGCGAAAACAATGTCAACAATGATATGATGGCCCCATTGTAGCTGCCATTGAGAGAGGTTCAGAGCGGAGAGGGGAGAATGGCGAATGGTGTGGAGAACACAAAAGATTGCCAGCAATTAGAGAACGAGCCACCTACCTACCTGCCTACCTCCCCTCACCCACCGGGCCTATTCAGCCAACGAAGTGCTGTTAATGCTGTGAAGACTTGGAACCCCTGCCCTCTGGGCGGTCTAATAGTTTCCCATGAAAACAAAAAAACCTTGGCGCCAGGAAAAATGATTTCCTAATGAAGATATGGCATAAGTGGTAGCTGGAAGCTCCCCTGATGTGCAGAGCACACGATGCTGCAGCCGTGCCCTTCCACCATGTTGGTTGTGCTTCTGTTTCTGCTCTTAAAGATCAAAGAAACTGCTTAGGCTCCGCCATGTAAGAAGGAGTCGCCATTCAGCAAGGTCTGTTTAAAATCTTAGGCTATAATTGTCGGGGGGTAGCTTCAGAGCCTTCCGATCTGTAGAGCAACTTTCGAGCCTGCAAGTCTCGATTCAATTATCAATCTGCCGCCTCATGTGGGCGCACTTTTGAGCATCCTAATCTAAAGTCTATGGCCTCCAATCTCCAATCCCACATTCATTTCAATTATATTTCCATAACTTCTGTAAAAACCTTGGACTCTAACGATATCTCTAGCTCTCTCTCGAAAAGGTAGCGCTTTTAATGGTTCTTTTGGTTGATATTTTCATTAAGTTTCATAAAATGTATTTATTTTATTTACAATCTCACAAAACCTGCCTTCAGAGCCAGGGTCGTGACAACTGTCGGCACCTTTCCGCGTAGGCCCCAAACTCAAACCCAATCCCCAACCCCAACCCCAACCCACCAACATTCACTTATTGTCTCTGGTCTGTGGTGTGTGTTTGTGTTTGTGTTGCTGCCACAATTCAAGATGTGTGTTTTGATAGGAATACGAAAACAAGTTGTCGTTTGTTCTCGAATGTAGTGCTTGGGGTTTGTTTCTGCGGTTCGTGCCCCGCCTCCTCCTCCTGCTGCCTCGTTGGGGTTCTTTCTTGTTACGACAAATTATGCCAATTAAACGGTGGGAAAACAAGTTGGCAAAAAAGACTCAGTCAGACGCAGACTGCACACGCGTCTAGCCCCCGCTCGAGTGGGTCGCAGCAGACCAATCCGTGGGGAGACTTGAATCTGGATCGCAGTTGGGAGTTTCTTTTTGCAAAACGAGTCTTCAAAGTCTCGATGCCTGCACAATTGAGAGATGCACAGCAAACTGTGGCATATTTGCTTCCTGTCCTGCATCGATCGAGCACACACAGCAATCCATTTGCATAATCGAATTGATTGACTTTTATAAGCCTGACAAATGAGCCTTGCCTTGCCGCCTTGCCACATGTGTGAATCAGTGGCTCGGAATGAGAGCAACGCCTGGAGCCGTCACAGAGACTATTCTTAGTTGCAGGATGAGGGCCGGGCCGAATGATGCCGATATTTGCATGTTTCCCCATCAGGTAGCAACAGTTCCACGCAGAGACGAAACTCAACCGAAAAATAGTTCAGAAAAGGAGCCAAAAGGAAGCGCTGATGATGCTGTTGAGTGTTAAAGAGTGCTTGAGTTAGCTGGGGAGTGGAACTTTACATGCTTTAGGAGTACAATGGAATGGCGCACATGCACTTTGGAGGATGTGCTGTTCGAGGGAACACATAGATAAACTGAACAACAGATCTGATAAATACATTTTCGTCTAGAAAACCCACCCCTGACCCACTGTTTAATGTCTGCCCAAGATGTCTTAGCGACTCTTTAGCTCTCAAAATTATGCTCAAGGTCCTAAACTTAAAATATACTTGAGCCTATCCACAGTTAACTTTAACACCTAATCCAGCGAAAACCCCGAAGAAGGTTTCCTGCAGAGTTCAACGATTATATGCCTTCTTTTATATATCATTTTTCTGACAACCCACGCGGCTGCTGCACATAAAACCCAAGAACCACACGTGGCGCCGTGAAGGGAGCGGCTCTGTGTTTGCATTTGGCCCCGAATGGGTCTCATGTGCGCATAATTAGGGAACAGCTCCTGGGATGAGGCCAGTAGCTGCCAGAAACTTTTTCCCCATCTCTGTCCTCATATTTGGGCACTCCTGTCTGGCCAAAAGGATTTGCCGTGTGTGCGTTTTTTGATGGCCCAAATGGGAGAGATATGTGCCATCATTTGTGAGGTAATGTTTCCACGAATTTATCCAGAAAACTATGGAAATGTTTCCCCCTTTTGCATGACTAACTTTAAAGATACTTTTTGACACTTTTTTCTGTTTTTTCTGTTCCCCAAGCAAGTAGAAGTACTTTTTTCTGTTCCCTCCAGAGGTTAAGTCTCGTTGTTATCCAGCAAAGTTAATTAAATCTAAAAGAGAACTCACCTTTTTGCTTGTGCAACTCGAGGATGTTCCTTTGTGTCCTTGGCTTTTAGTCGCCTTCGTCTCCTCGTGTCTCTTTATCTCTCTTTTGTTGTGCGATTTAAGCCTGGTCAACACCTAGAGGCAGTCTAGGCAGACTCTTCTCCAAACATTTGTCATTGTTTTCGAGGTGTTTGATATTCGAAGCTTCCTGCAGATGCACCTCCTTCTCCTTTTGCACTTCCTTCCTTCCACTTTTTGTGTGTGGCACTGAAGCGTGGCAAGCAGGCAACAGCAGAGGCAGCACTCTGGACGCTGTGGCTGTTGCTGCTTCTGTGGATAGTGTTTATGTTGTTGTTGTCAGCCCCCAAATCAACCCACCGCTGGCCTCATCCGTGTCAGCATTTTTGTGTCTGTGTTGTGTTTTCCGTTTGCGCAAGATGAAAATGCAAATTTCTGCAAAAAAGAAACAAAAAGAGAGAAAATAAAGGTGAGCGCCTGCAGTAAACACAAATGCAAAAACTTAAGCTCTGCCATGTTTTTGGGGTTCAGTGAACCATGGAGTCGCCCACAGGGGAAGCTACCACTATGCCGCCCAAAAGAATTGCCACACATTTTATGGAGCCCAAAGGCATACTCTTGTGCACGCTCCTAAAGCTAAAATGTGGCAAGCGGAAGCAATTAATTTCATTTGCAACAGTGCCAGTGGCTAGGCCCAATCGAGTGTAACCCCCCACAGGCAGGGAGAAAGTCTTTTTCTACACCAAATTAAAAAAAAAACAGCAACAAATTGTTAATCAAAGAGCGTACGTTGGGTTACCATAAAATCATCATCATCATTTTTCAAGGTGTGTGTCATTAATGCCAGGTGGTAATCAAAAGTGTCGCGTCACTTTCGATCACTCTCTCTCTCCCCGCTGCTATCGCTCACTCTCACTCAAGGTAAAGCCGTAAATTTTGCCTTGCCTTCAGTTGATCTGCTCCCCATGCCTCAACGATTCATTCAACGCATTGTAATTGTCTAATTTATTTGTTGTTCCAACAATTTCACTACAACTCGTTTCACAGTGCGTGAGAAATGCGTGCGTCCATCCGTACAAAATTGTACAAAAGTTCAACTGCAATTGAAGCCGCGTAAGTCACTCAGCTTGGGGTAGGTCGTGGGGCAAGCTTGATTCGGAAATAAACATACTTAGATGCAGAAATACGCGTTGAAAAGAGAAAGTCATGTGGTACATTCATTTACCATTGATGGAGGCAGATTATATCATTATTTTGGAGCTATGAAATAAGTTAAGTTATTAAGAAATTCAAGTAGGAAATGGTTACATTTTGGGTGTATTTCAGCAGCTTTGATTTGGTTTACTTTACTCGCACTTTGCCTCCATTTGCTGGCAACAATTTTAACTCATTTTTGTAGGTTATCTCAAAAAACACCTTTCCAATCCATTTCAATAAATGATTTCTATTCCAACATAAAAATCTTTCCATACAGAACACTGTCTCAGTTGTAGCCAGACATTTATTCAGTTTACCCAACACCAAAATTTACGTGTAATATTATTTCTTGAAATGGGAAACCAAATGGGAAAATCATCAAAAACTTTGGCAATCCAGACGGAAGTCAAACACGTTGACAGGATGATCATGAATGAAATGTCGACGTTCTGCTTCAAGGAGTGCATGAAGAAACAGCATAAATCCCAATTCGAATCTCTGGAGGCATGTTCGCTGTGTTGCAAGGATATGTTTTACTTGTTGCTGTCCGACTTGAATCACAATAAATGCCAATACACGTTCCATGAGACGGAGGAGAACCCATAACAAAATACAACAAATTAAAGTAGGTCTGGGGGAAACATCAAGAGAATGAAAATAAATGTATTTGGTAAACTAATTTGATCTTCTTTGCCATGAACAAATTATATAGATAAGCAAACACACAGAATTTCACAGAATGCCAAAACTAACGACCCCAAATCCCATGTTGTACATGGAACAAGGTCACATAATTGGCTCCCCATGCCCAATTCCAGTGTATAATAATAATTATAGAAATTGCTGCTCTGGCCTGACATTTGCATTGCATAAACTAGATGTCAGAGGAAAGTGCCAATAAATTGGCATTAGAATCGGTTTGTAGTTTGTTGTTTGCTGTAGGCTAACTTGCTGCTGGCCACTGGCTGGCTTCCTCCTGTCAATCGAGCCACTCAATTATAATCAATCAGATTTCTCATTAGCTGGCTGGCTGGCTGGCTGGCTGGCAGGGGTTTATTTATTGCCTTGTCCCCATAAAAGCGGGGGCAAGTGGTATCTCCCAAAGAAGAGGCAAGAGTAGACAGTCGCAGCCTCAAAAGAGATCGTCGTCGTTGCGGTGTTATAACGAGTGACGCTTCGCCACCTAACGGTTTGATGTCTCAGGCCATCGGCCATGCGATTATCGATTTGGATGCGGATACTCGATGATGCTTCAGTTGTGTGCAAATATCTCTGCCTTTCGATTATAATTATTGGATGTCATAACTTTCAATCAAAGTTGCGGCTTTTCCATGGCATCTCTGCGGCATCTTTTGCTTTACTTTTTGCGGTTCGCCTGAAGGCCGCGGTTTCGCAGATTTTGTTTTGTGGGTTTACTTTTGTTGTCAACTTTTACAAGATTTTTGTATGTTTTTATATGTTTTCGACTCTGTTTTTGGTTAAAGTTAAAGATTTCTTGCGTAAATTACATTGAAGCTTTCATGTCATGTGTTTTTTTCTGCCTTTACTGCCTGCCTCTTCGCATCTCATGGCTGCGGCTGCTTTTTATGGGTATGGAACAGAACAGAAGAAGAATTAAACTACTTTTTCATGACCTTTTATGGGGGGGAGCAGCAGCCGAAGCCGAAGCCTAAACTCTGAGACACAGATGAGCAGCATCAGCATTTCATTCCATGTAATGTCTGGAATTGGATTGGTTCTTGCTTCGTTTAGAGGTTGCTTGTTTCCCCCAAAGAGAAGTGCCAGTTCCAGAGAGTGGCTCTGGCTGTTTTGCCTTATTTAGCCAAGTTAGGTGGGATGTCTGGACCATGGACCAACGCAGACGTTGAACCAATAAAATGTGTGTGCGCGCGTGTGTGGGGGCCAAAGTGATGGGAAAATATTCTTGCTTTTATTTTGTTTTATTTTTTTGCAAGCTGATTAAATGGTGGAAAGGTGTAAAGTGGTAAGGTTTAGTGGGAAAGGTCTCTCTGTGGTTCATCTGTCCTGTCATGTGCCACACACATCATCAAGCGATTAGTGGAAGTATTTCTAAATCACTCGCACTACTCCTCTCGATCAAAGCCGTTCCGCCATTTGCCACTTCGGCGTGCCACAAAAATGATAATCACAGAAGAAGTAAACCATTGGAAAAACGTTTGAACGAACAAATCAAATCAGTGGAGCATGCAAGTGTTATACTAAACGGCAAACGCCTTCAATTTTAATTGCCGGAATGGAATGGAATGGAAACCGTCATGGGATAATGGATAATTATGGCCAACAAGTGGATAATCTTGCAATAATATTTACAATTAAAGCTACAATTACAATTGGAATGGAGAATGGAAAAGGAAAATGGGGAATGGGAATGGGGATTGGGCATTGGCATGAAATTCCAATTAAAGTGATTGAAGAAAAACAACGTAACACATGTGTGGCCATAATTTATAGATATCATGTTTAGAAGCCTTGAGAGAACACAAATCTATACATATTATATAAGAAAACCCCATCTAAATTTGTACTGAAAGAGAGAAAGATTGATCTTCCTTTAAAATTCCTGCTTTTGCGCTCTTTTTCTGCCTTTTCTACTCCTTCAATCTATCATTATTTATTGTCAATGCCAGAAAATTGCATTTTCCAAGGTCTCTGCTTCGGCAAAGTAGAAGCAGAAAGAGCTACAAAATAAATAGCAGAAAGGAGAGCCGCAGCAGCAGGGGAGTAGCAGGAGTTGTCTGCTGCATGTTGCGCGTAAATTTTAATATGCAAATATTCAAGGCTGCTGCTGACAAATCGTTTCTATTTCCGGTAGTTCCGAGGCTCGTCGGGTCTGGTCTATTGATAAGATAAAACATTTATTTACCAATTTCTGTTTTGAACATTATTATTGATTATGATGGATTCAATCGGTGTGGTCCTATCACCAGAGATAACTCTCTCGCGGTACAAAACGAATACAAAGCCAAAGCAAGTTTTGCTTTGCGCCACAAAAAGTGTCGACAAATCCGCAAAGAGCGAAAGACGGAACTGGAGTTGGTGAGACAGGGCTAACCAGTTTTTACAGCAAGAGTTGGGGAGTGAGAAGAGAGAGGGAATACAAATATTGACCATAATAAATAAATGGTCTTCAAATGCACTTGCACTCCATGGACACCATTTACATCTGCCTCCTAGGCCGCCTCTTTCTCTCGCCAACTAACTCTTTTACCTTTTCTTCTGCCACTCTCTTTCTCCTTCTCTCTCGTCTGGATGGATTGTGGCAATGAACTTGACATTAATAGGGCTTCCTCCAACTGCTGCCTAGCGTGACTCTCTCTAGCCTCTCTTTTTCCCCTCCTTTTATACAAGACTTTTCTGCATCGAAACAATTTTCTCATGGCCAACACAACTCAATCTTGCGAGTGCGAATGCGTATGCGAATCATGGCGACTAGCATAACAAATTTTTAATTCCACAGAAACAGATGCAACATCCCAGAGAAAGAACAAACAACAGAAAGAGACTGCATCCTACAGAGAGACAGAGAGAGTGCGCGAGAGAGAGTGCATCTCCAGAGAGAGCTGGCAGAAAGCTTGCTCGCTCTCTGACCATAAAAAAAACATAAAACACAAAAGGCAATGGCCTTCGTAGATGGATGGATGATGCTATAGAGATTTCCATGCCGTGGAAAATCAAAGCCACAGGCAAAACGGAACTCCTGTTTGCTGGCAACTTTTACAACGGTCCTAGGTCCGGGTTTTCACCCAACAACTATAAGTGACACAGCGAGTGACATAAAATCAAATGAAAATGTTAACTGAAAATTGAATCAACTTTTTTGGTAGACAAGCGCAAAACAGCTTGGAAGCACAGGAAATAATAGCACAAAAAACCACCGCCGGGATAAAATCAGAACAGACCCAACATCCACAGACCGCAAGAACAACAACAAAAAAGTTAGGGACTAAGAGGAAACAGATTCAAAATCAACTCTGGACAGAACCCAAAAAAAAACCCAGCTCGGAAATACATGAAGTACACCCAAAACGCCCCAACGGGAGGATAGACAGAACCTCCTCCGTTACATCGACAGCAAAAAAGTGCAAAAACGTCAAAGTTAATTTGGGGGAGAGAGCCAACAGCAGAGCATCCCAACAGAAAGGTCAAAAAAGAGGATTACAGCCGCCAAATGCGCGGATCCCTCCGCAGCAACAACAAAAAAGTGTTGAAACATAATTCTGTGCGGGTTAAATGAAACAATAAAAAACCGCAATAAAAGTATAAACAAGTGTTTTGATTGCTATATTTAAGCTTTCGGGCTAGAGAAAAAACAACAGAAAAAAAGCTGACAAATAAATAAATATAAAAAAGAAATTAAAATGTCATAAAAGAAAACAAAACGAAAATATGCATGAAAAATAATGAAAAATGTGGAGGCATGACCGAAAGTCTTGACACTGTGATGATACCCATTATCCCCTGCTCCGCCCGTTCTTTTGCCACGGTCCGGGTCCGGTCCGGTCCGATCCGTTCCGTTACGTTCCTGTTCCACCTCGACCTCCGTGACGTTTGTGACAAATGACGACAAATGCGTGGCAGACATTTGGTCGCCACGAAGAGGGGGGGAGAGCACACAGGAGCCCTGGCCTTTCATCGAATGAAAGCGAAATGAGGGAAAGAAGAAACAAAGATTCCACACCCCAATTCTTCACTCTCTATAACCCACTACTCCCGCCATCATCACTCTTCACACAAGTGAGAGCGTGACAAAAGAAAACTAAATAAATAATTTAAAAAACAAACAACAAACCCCGTTAAAGCGTGGCAGTACGGTATGGAATTTAACGCCTGAAACGAGAAAAAAAAACACCCGCACTCACATTTTTTTCAGGTGATTCTCTTCATTTTCCTAAGTTTTTCTTAGTTAATTTAACTTTTTGTCAGCTTTAGACCTTCTTCTCTTCGCTAAGATATGTGACAAATGCCACATTTTGTAATTTCCTATAACGATCGTGTAATGAACGTGTTTGACAGATGGCAAAATGGTAGAAGATAATATGAGATTTCCCACTTGTCTTCAATGCGGAACACGATTTGATTTTGCTAATGGAGGTGGCAGGTGCTCTCTAGAGTGTATTCTTATCAAAGGTAACACTAAGATAGGGAAGGTCTAAAACGAACAGAAAAAGGTAACAATTTAAACGTTTTCCCGTATGACAATCCGTTTGGCATTCCCTCCATTTCATTGGCTTACAAAGTACTCTGCATATTTACATAAGGATTCCCTCCACAAATCGGTAATCGTTTTCCCCTCCAACAGTTCGTTCAAACATCTCCATTTACACAAGACTGTAAACCATTTTAGCCTCCCAATCCACACACTCAGCACCAGCAACGAATAGGAACCCCAGCTAAAGCTCAGACTAAGTGGAGTCTATCCCCCCATATCCCATATCAAAGTTCAACGTTTGTTTGACTTTGAACTTCTAGGGCTTTTTACCTTTTGGAATATTTCATAATATCCCAGAGTGTCGGGGGAAAGCGAGGGAAGTTTTCTTTTCCTTTTTTCCTGACACTTGCATACATTTGCTTGCCTTCAGCGTTTTTGCCATATTTTCCTTCTGTCTTTTTCTTCGGAAAACCCAATCCAACAAATCCGCTTAGAGGCGGAGTCGAGTCATCTCCCACACGGTCTCTGCCCACTGCCACTTGCACTCCCATCCCGCTGCCTTTCGACACTCAAAAGTCAAGTGCAGTCGAAACATTTAAGAAAAACGCTGCCCCAGCGTTCCCTTGTTCGAAATTGCACTGGCAATTGCAGCATTTTCCTC